TCCATTCCATGATCATATAAAAAAAAGCACTACCTTTTTAAAAGGTTGTTATTGATATTTTAATTAGACTATTATTTTTCAGTTGAAAAATATAATTGGCTCCTTGATGGGACTGCAGTTGAGATGATAGAGACTTTTCAAGCAGAAGATCATACTTTTGATGAATATACAGAGGTAAGTGATAATTCTGTTTTTTATTAATGACTTTTGCATTTTTTAATAAAATTAGGATTTTTTTATTCTAGAAAATAAACGCTTAAATTAAATAGAATTTCTTATTCAAAACTTGATTTTAGTAAAACTCATTGGCTCACTTCATAATTTCTGCAGTCATTCATTTACTCATTGATTGATTCAATAAAAATTTGCTCATCACATTCAGATACCTAGCAAGATGTTGATGATGCGAAAATAAACAGTATATAAACGCTCTCCTTAGGAGTTCATATTTGGCCTGGAAACCTAACAGAAATAACAACTATAATATATTGAGATATGTACTGGAATGGAGATATAGACAAAATGTTGTGGAAACACAGAAAGAGAATGATTGCTTTTACTTTGGGAAATTGGTGAAGGATTCATGCAAAACATGAAAAGTGAGCCAGGCTTTGAAGTAGGTATTTATAGGTGGTGAAGGGAGGGAATATAGCATGAATGAAGACCAAAAGTGTTCCAAGATGTTCAGAGGACATCGAATAAACCAAAATAGCTAAAGAATACGTAACAGGAATATGGTAAATGGCAGATTTAGAATATGATGAAGTTGGAAATATATGTTAGAACCACATGGGAAGATCCTGTGGTATCTTTGGTCAAGAGTTTATACTTCATTTTGAAGGTTTTTAGCCATGGTAGTAATATATTTGGATCTGAGTTTTAGAAAGATAATTCTGGTAGCTGGGGGTTGGGGGGGAGGGGGAAAGCAATTGAACGAGAAAATCTACCTCCTCAAGGGACCTTATTCTATTCATTAAGACTAGGCTCATTATTTCTTCATCTTCTCCCTTTATGTTGACTGTTTAGATTTTATTTTTAATATGCAATTTATAAATTTTAATTGTTCTAATATTTTATTGTGAAAATTTTAAACATACAGAGAAGTTGAAGGAATTTTACAAAGCATACCACTTAGATTCTAGCATTTTACTATATTTGCTTAATCACATATTTATCAATTTATTTCTTTTTTCATCTTTTATTAATTTAAAGAACAATTAAATTTAAAAGTCAACTTTATCAAAATTTAGTTTACCTACAATAAAATTCACCCAATTTTAATTATACAGTTATATGAGTTTTGACAAATTTACACAACCACGTAACAATCATCAGAATCAAGAAATAGAACATTTTTACCACCTCTAAAAGTTTCCTTGCATACTATCCTGGTCAATTCTCTCTAACCCTGGCCTCGTTCAACAGCTGATATGCTTTCTTGTTACTATAGATTAGATTTTTCTTAAGTTTCATATAAATAGAATCATACATAGGTACTCTTTTGCATCTGGTTTCTTTTATTAGCATAACATTTTTGAGATTTATCTATGTTGTTGTGTGTATCAGTGGTTGATTCCTTTTATTGAGGAGTAGTATTTCACTGTATAAATACATGATTTGTTTATCCATTCACCATTTGATGGACATTTGGGTTGTTTCCAGATTTTGGCTATTATGAATAAAGTTACTGCTTTCTTTTGTATACAAGTCTTTGTGTGAACATATGATTTCATTTCTCTTTCTAGGAGTTAGATTGCTGGATGGTATGGGAAGTGTCCATTTAACTTTTTCAGAAACAGTTAACTTATTTAAAAAGTTATTCTACCATTTACAATCTCCCCAGCAGTGTATGAGATTTCCAGTTCTTCCACATCCTTTCCAACCCCTGGGATTTCAGTCTTTTTAACACCAGCTATTCTACTATGTGTATGTTGGTATCTCATTGTGGTTTTAATTTGCATTTCCCTGATGACTAATGATGTTTAGCATCTTTAAATGTGTTACTTTCCATCTGCATATTTTTTAAAAAAATAAAGTGTTTTAATAGTTTATACATTTTAAATTTGATTTTTGTGTTTTATTGCTGAGCTATAATGGATGTTGTAATGGATTACTGAGCCATAATGGATAATGGATTTTATTGGGCTATATTATTATAATAATTCTTATTGAGTTTTGAGTTCTTTTTTAAATTTTATTTTAAAATTTTATTACCGGAACCATGCCCAAGAAGCCTTGAGCAAGTGGACTCCGAATTTTGAGTTCTTTATGTATTCTGGGTAAACGTCCTCTGTCTGAAATATGTTTTGTACAAATACTTTCTCCCAGTTTATGCCTTGACTTTTAATTTTTGTAACAATGTCTTTCAAGGAGTAGACATTTTAAATTATAATTAATTCCAGTCTATCAATTTTTTCTTTTTTTTTCTTTTTGTTGTTCCGTATAGTTTGACAATATACAACTTTTTCTTTTAAGGTTCATACTTTTTGTGTCCTGAGGAATCTTTTCCTACTCCATGATCACGGAGTGATGTATGTTTTTTTCTAGAAGTTTTATAGTTGTAGCTTTCCCATTTAGATCTATGACATGACCTAGCATAAATTAACTTTTATGTATGATGTGGGATGTGGGTCATGGTTCAAAATTTTTTCATGTGGATATCCAGCTATTCCAGCATTATTTATTGAAAATACTGTCTTTTCCCCATTAAATTATTTTGGCGTCTTTGTTGAAAATCAATTGATTTTATATTTATGAGTCTATTTCTGGATTCTCTGTTCTTTTTCATTGATTTATATATCTATTCTTATGCCAGTTCCACACTGTCTTGATTTCTGTAGTTTACTGGTAAGTTTTAAAATCAGGTAGTGTAAGCTCTCTAATTTTGTTCTTTTTTTTTTTTTTTTTTTTTTT